TGTATGTGTCTGCACATATACTTGGCCAATAAACACGATTCTGATTCTGATTCTATATTCACTAGTCTGTCTGCTTTCCCAGGTGTTTAGCTGCTAGTCTATTCATTACATGACTAACACATTCCCATGCTGTAAAACTCAATGGTGACATCATTGCTTCTTCCTGCCCGCAAGTCACTTCATCGAAGCCTCCAGCATCTAACTCTGGAGAGTCCTGCCCTAATTTTTTATCACCGTTGAGATTTCATTCTGCTGTGGGCCATCAGAGTCTAATCGGCAAATAGCATCATTTAATTCTGTAGATCAATAAATCATTTTCAATTCCTTCTAATGATTTCTCTCTATTGAATTAGATTTGCTTGACCACCTAAAATTGGATGAATACCATCTCCAGAAAGACTGGAGAAGTATAAAGTTTGCACTGTTTTAAGCAGTTGAGGGATGACATGTGGCTATAAATGCAATCACTGTTCAGATCAGGGGTCAGATTGCTTGAAACGTGTAATGTATCAACACAGCTTTGTTTATGGAGGGAGTGGTGTTAAAAATATCTAAATCTAAAGTCTTTGAGTCATCTTTATCTACACAAGATGTTCTCTGTGCTCACTGCATAATCCATTTGTGCTTTAAAAAGTGCAGAGTTATGAATTACTCTTTCTTTAATTAATTCAACAAAAATGGGCATCCTCAATGGGATCCAAGTAAAAAATGTTCACTATGTTGCCAAAAGTATTCCCTTGTCTGTCTTTACACTTATGAACTTGAGCGATATCCCATTCGTAATCTATGGGGTGCAATAAAACATCAGCCCACCTTTTGAAGCTATAACCGCTTCAGCTCTTCTGGGAAGGCTTTCCACAAGGTTTAGGAGTGTTTATGGGAATTTCTGACCATTCTTCCAAAAGTACATTTGTGAGATCAGACATTGATGTTGGATGAAAAGGCTTGGCTTGCAGTCTCCCCTCTAATTTATCCCGAAGGTGTGCTGTCGGGATGAGGTCAGCACTGTTGTTGAAGACCGGCCCACACAAACTCCCTCATCTCTCTATGGACCTTGCTTTGTGCACTGGTGTGCAGTCATGTTGGAACAGGAAAGGGCCATACCAAAAACCGTCTCCACAAAGTTGGGAGCTGAAATTGTTCAAAATGTCTTGGTATGCTGAAGAACTAAGAGTTTCATCCACTGGAAATGAATGCCCGAGTCCAGCTCCTAAGAAACAACTGCACAACAAATTCACCCCTCTACCACACTTCAACTTGGCACAATGAAGTCAGACAAGCACTGTTCTCCTGGCAATCTCTGCAATCATCCTGCTCTGTGAGGGTCAGCAGATGGCCTACCACATCGTCGTTACAATGCTGTTGTTCCCAATCGCTTCCAGTTTGTTATAATGCCACTAACAGTTGACTGTGGAAATTTCACAACTAGGCACAGGTGGCATCCTATCACAGAGGTCCTGAGAGAGACCCGTTCTCTCACAAATGGTTGTAGAACGGAAATTGAAAAAGATGAAAAAAATGGACAGGAAGATTTCTGAACAGAAATTTCAGGTTCAATAATCAGATAGTAGAGTCACAACTGAGCATAAACAACATGTATCAATAGTTCAGACAGGCTGTGCTGGTGTAACTATGTGGCGTATTTTCTTGCCACACTCTGAGCCCCTTAGAACTCTCTGAGCATCACTTCACATCTGATTTCTTCAACATGACAATGAGTTCATTGTACTCAAAAGCCCTCCACAGTCACCAGATCTCAGTCCAACAGAGTACCTTTGAAAGCAGGTGGAACAGGAGACTTTTATCATAGGTGTGCTGCCATCAAATCTGCAGCTAGCATGTCAATATTTACCCAACTCTTCAAGCACTTTGATGGATTGGAGCGATGGATTACAGCAGCACTGAAGGCAAAAGGAGTCCTACTTGTTACTTGTTACCTAATAAAGTGGCCGTTATGTGTATGTCAGTGTAACATTACTCTACAAAGGAAAAACATACTTTTTGAAACAAACATTACAATAAAAAAAAAAAAAATTGATGATATGATATATTATCATATCAGACTGTCGGTGATGTCAGTGATTAACAGTCAGTGTTTTAGTATTTACCATAAAGTCCTTGCTTCACTAATGACAACCACATGGGGGCAGTATTACACTAGATTTAATCAAAAATACTGTCAGGAGAAAATCACAACACCAAAATACATGATGGACATTTTTAAAGCTACTAAAGGTATAACTTTCATAATAAAATGATACATGACGCATGATAGCATCTGTTAGATCCGATGCTATGAATTATGAGTTAAAACTGCTGCAAGAGAAATGAGTGTAACTCATGTAAAGAGCCCTAACTTGAAAAGAACACAAAGTCATCGAGTCTTTTTTTTAAAAATTATGTTCCTAATACGTGATGTTTCTGCTGCTGATCTATCTGAATTAAACTTGTGTGATGTACAGCAAATACCGTCCTTTCACTTTTGCAATTTGAATGTGGTAGAAAGTCTGTGCCAAAAACCATTTTGGCTCCAAAGCCCCTTCAATAACAGAAATAAAAACACAACATGAAATTCTTTAATTTATTTTTAAATTGACATGTTTTGTCTTTTAAATGAACTGTGTAATCTGCGTGATTTCAAATCCATGTCTTCACATCCATGTGTCTGCACTTGGATCTGTGTGTCTGTGATGAGATTTGGAAATGTGTAAACAAATCTGTTAACATCGATTTCTTAAAGTGTAGAGGAACGTGGATGTGTTTAATTCAGACGTATTTAAGCATCTCTAAACAATCTGATTAAATCACTCTGTCATTTACCGTAATCTGTAAAATAAGATGACAATTCAGTTACTTTTTCCTTTTTAAGTAGATCTGAGGCACTTAACTGTGGGAGTTAGTAATCGCTTTTTCAGTTTCTCATCCATGAATTTGCTAATAACTACCTCTTCTTTTACAGTACTTCATTAATAGTTTTTATACAGTGTCCCAACTGAGAACCAAAACAAAATAGAGGCCCAGGAGGATGCAATCAAACAGATGATTATTGAACACACGCGTGGGAAGATGAACACTGCAAAACATCAGATGTAGATCTCCGCCCAAAAATATACTTCAGATTGCTTTTATAACGTCAGGGTTGGTTAACGCCCCTTCTCGCGTTGTACAAGAACATACTTTGTATTTTAAGAACATCATTTGCATGTTTTATAGACAATGAGCAATCTTAAGAGATAAATGCAGACACTGAAGTTCCCCTCTCTAGCATCTTCTCCAAATATGGCGATGGATTCAGGGTCTGATGTTGATGTATGTTGATGTCCTCCTTTTTGGCCCATCTTTTGTCACCTGTTACTAAGCAAACTCAGGTGCAACAAGAAGCCGGATACATTCAGGCCTTCACTCAAGCCTGTTTCTAGATTATATGTATTATATGTGTTTTGTGAGCGTGTACGCAGTTTTAACCTTCTGTTGCTCCAAGTCACTTTTACAATAGATTGTCTGGACATTGCACCAAACAAAGCTTGAGACCTTCGATTGACTGAGCAGAATACACTTCTTAATAAGCACAAGATGCAATGTGTATAAAATGGTCTTAGCTGTACCTGTAGTAAAAAGGTTAATGTAATGGCAACAGCTTCAATAAATGTTTTACTGAAATGATGATTGATTTGATTAATGCAATGGTAATAATGATGAGTATGAGTAGCAGTAAAATATTTCCCTTATTCCACAACAGTATCTAAATTTCTTCTCAGACACATTATATACTCCTCTAGCTTTATTGAAACACTTTGACATTCCTTGTTGTTCTGTCTGAAATAAAACAAGTTTAAAAGATATAAACTGTTTTAACTGTGGAAACACAATCTTCGTTTTTTTGGACAAATTGTCGCTCGGTGGAGTCACTGCCTTCATGAACGAGTTTGTTCCTGTCTTTCACTTTTGTCACTGAGCTGAGCAGCAGTCTCAAACCACAGCTTCTCCACCTGCTCCTTTCCTAAATCCCAGAGCTGCTGGAGAATGTTAACACCCTTTCTGGATGAAATCATCAAATACTCTTCATTTTCTGGCTGCAAGGTCAGAGAGTAACGACCTAAAACTAAGGACTGGCAAAAGCGGGACAGCACCAGCAAATATAGACAATCTTTCTCCACCTCATTGAGAGGAAGGACGCTTTCCCAGCCAGCAAGGACGGGTCCACCCACCTCGATGGGTTTAGGGTGCTCAATCATCATGTACATGACGGTGATTGCAAGCTCATGGATGTAGTAGCCACTATTCATGTCGCCAAAGTCCAGAATACCGGTGATCCTATAGCCTTCTTTATCATTAGGCTGTACCAGGACATTGAGGTCATTGAAGTCGCCATGGTTAACGCCTTTAAAAAAGACATTGAAAAGTGTATTTGTAAAATCAAAAATCACTACATACAATCAGCCAATGAAAAGCCAAGACAAGGTAATCAAGAAGTACAGTGCAAACTGTATGAGCAGCTCTCTGATAAACAGTTACTGGTCTTTAACCTTCACAGCTATGCTTTTATGACAATAAATATATCTTATGGTAAGTCATAAGCATGTAACTGATACATGTAACAAGATAATATTGTATACTCACATTTGCGAAAACTAGAGCGTTTGGGATCCACAGAGCTCTTGTACCCTTGGATTACAGACTTCACAACCTCCAGCAGAGGCTCTCCGTCTAACACATAGAGGTAATCTTCCAGGAGAGCAACATTTGACAGACTCCATTTGAACCCCTCTCTCTCCAGCACGTGAAGATGAGGATGTTTCATCTTAAATTACACCAAAAATGCAAGACATGTGTAAATGAAAAATGGCTGATAGACATGTATTCTGGGCAGTTTCACGAAATTCTCTCCCGAAGATTCACTGAAATTCTAACACAGAGTGGACGCCTTTAGAAGAGATTTCACAGGACTGTTACTATGATACCTTTTTAATGACTGTGTCCACTTTAGCTGCAGTTTTCCCCATTTCATACAGCAGCTGTGGAGTTAAAGGAACCTTGGAGATGGTTGTCCCAGGCAAATAGGTCAACAGTCTCACCAGGTACTTCTGACTGCCAAAACCACAATCTGCCAAAAGTAAGGATATGAATAATTATAGGCTTCAATAAACTTGAACATATATGGCAGAGCCCTGTTCAAGGGCACAGGCGTAACAATATTGCTAAACTTCCTTGTGTAAGATTGCCCTTTAGCCCTGAGCCAGAATGTGTTATTCTACTCCTGCAGATGCCAAGTTTGCCTGTGCCTTATCTTTACAGATTATCTGCGAAAGCAACCGTCCAAAGGTCGAGTTCAACTACGCAGCACATTTATACTATGTCACAGAAACACAGTACTTATAAGCATGTGCAGTGTGCCAACATACTTAAGTAATGATGGAAAGTCTTTGGACACTGGTTAACTCATTTTCTGTCAATTTCAGGATTTTGTTTAGGGTCTAGGACCCACAATATCCGATCAGCCGTTAATGGCTGCATTTTGTGTTTCTTTGGTTATCTTTATCCAATAAAAAATGTATTTGGTGATTTGGAACATTTAAATATAAAAAAAATGATAAGAAATCTGGAAGGAGACAAAGATGTTCACAGCACTGTAACATAAAGAAGTCTCCAGTAAGCACACAAAGTCTTTTGGGGGCTTCGTAGTCCTAGGTTTAAATAACACTCTGACATGTTATCTTTAGATGTTACTGAAAAACAAACAATTTCTAATTATAATCACTTGTGATTCAACAGTGAATGTTTACAGGGAAATTGCTACGAAGCATTTTGACATCAGTCAGGATCAATTTGAGCCTGACTGACTGAACACCGAGTGCCAGGCTGCGGTCACACAAGCTTCATCGTGCATGGATGAAATTTTATGTCATGTCAGGTAACGATATTTTTTCAGATCTGAACAACGTGGCTGGTCACATACCAATTTCCTCCAGACTCATTCGCTCTCCTGAGGTGTTGGGCAGCGCGGTTTGAGCAGGAATTCCATTCTGTTGTAGGAAGGACATGGTGTATGTCTGCACCTCAATCAGCAAGGTATTCTTGCTGTCCTCTGAGTTCATTATCTTTAGGATATACTCGCCACCCTCACTGGGCGCCACATAGAAGTTCTGGTCATCATAACTGGGCAGAGACTGAATCACTGATGCAGTCAGCCGGTAGAGCCTCTTCACAATCTCAGATACCTGGGAATGGCTTAAGTTGGGCTTGGCATTTTTTGGTGGCATTATTGCTGAAGGAAAACAACAAGCCATTAGAGAAGAGTTGCACTAATTTATAAAATCAACAAATATTATAACATCTTCACAAATTACAACAAATGCAACTGCAAAAAAAGTTAGAGTGAGAGAAACATTTCCTCTACCTGACTACCTGTTTTCATCTGCCTTTTACAGTGTTACAGTATTAATCAGGCACAATTCAATCATTGCCATGCTAAAACTGGTGAATCAGATCTTTTATGTGTTTTGTAACAATGATGTGAACTTCAGTCTTCATTATTAATGTTTACAGTTGAGCCGCACACATTTCTAGTCCTCAATAATAATAAAGGTGTTAAAAAAAGAGCAGAAAATTGCAATACACAACACAAAGATCAGTCCACACAACATGAGGAAAACGCACAAAAGCCTTTACATCTTTTTTAGACACATACAACCACACAGTACTCGCTTTAACAGACCTGAACCTCGCAAAGAAGCAAGAAAACTAAATACAGCAATGCCTTTTCATTAATAAATAAAATCATCATTTAAGAACTGCATTTTGTATTTACTCTTTAGCTAACGTGAAAATGATATAAAGATGTAAAACATGTAAATCTAGCAAATATGCAAATAAAATGAGAAGAGTAAGACATTTTATTGCAGCAGTGCTGTAGCAGATATTTGGCCTAAAAAACTGAAAGACAGCTGAAGTTCTTCTCTGAAGATGCCTCTTTGAAAATGGCTCCACAGAAAACAGTTCAGAAAAGGCTTGATCATGCCCCTGACTTGTATGAGCAAACTAATAACAGTAGAAAGCTAAAACATTTTCAATTACTATGTAGATTTCCTATTAATAAATGTGTTATTACTGGAATTGCTGGCTCATCATCACTGGGAACTCAGTAATGGTCTTAAATTTAGTCAGTTTCCATGGAATGGACCCAAATGCTTCTTTTTTCTCAGGACATATTAATGCAGCAAAGTGCAAATGCAAATAAATACTTTGAACAAATTCTTAGAAGTCCATGTAATCCTTGTTAAAAACTCTATTATTAATGTGAGTTGACTTGTTTCAGTGCTAGCAAAATCACATCTGTCATAAATATCTGTCCCAAATTAATTACTGTGAAGCTGCATTCACAGCAGTATCTAGTGGGAATGGCATTTGATTGGGATTCCCCCCCCCAAAAAAAACTCAATTTCAGCCACTGACAAACTGCATAATGTATGCTTCTTTACATTTAAATCCTAATTTCCAATTGAGAACTGACAGGAACCATACGATACCCAGGCCTGCCTTAGACCGTTCATCAGGAAGCACAGGAGAGTTTTTCCCAAATCAGAGAGCTGAGGAAGGTCTGGCAGGTAAAGTCAGCGTTCACAGTCACATAGTTCTCCTTAAACAGCTCAGAGCAGAACTTCACCACCTCCTCACATCTATCCTTCACATTTGGATTTATTCTCCTGCTGGCACTGATAAAGGACCCTTTAGCTGTCTCCCCCACTCAGTCATTTAGCTCCAACATCTGCTGTCTCTTCTCAGCAACCCTCACCCCATCCCTTATTTTTTTACCTCCAAGTCACTGTTCACTTTTTCTCAATTCTTTCAGCACATCCCACCAAACTCTCAAGAACTCAAAACCCTGGCTGTTCTGATTCTGAGGCAGCCAAAAGTCTCTGAGGTTAGAACAGAAAGTAGATTCCTGATCTGTTTGAGTTGTTTCTGACGACTCAAAGAGATCCACAGAATCTCTGAGAATCTCTGCCTTCATTAATCTGTTATTGTGAACAGCAGTAATGAATAACCCATTGAACCTGTCCTTCTATCACCTGCAGGGTTAAAAGAACAGATTTGCTAAGATGTTTGAAGATTATCTTAAGCAGTACTGTGCAAAGTCAAATCTTGCACTACAGGTAGTAATAGAACGGACTAAACTGGGCTAACTTAAGTTGTGTAATGGCAAAGCAGCTTGATAATTTAAAAGTATTTCAAGAGTGTGTATCTCTGGCACAAAACATTGAAACAAATGGTGTGCTTTGTAATAAGCTGCTAGCAGTAAAGTATCTAAAGATACAATTTGAGATGGGTTATTTTCTACCTGCACCATGTCAAACTTTCAGTGTGAAGAGGAGGAGACCTAAATGCATCCATGAGACCATCTATATTACCCAACAGTGTTGCAGAACCTGGGTGTGAGTCAATGGTCCTGCTCAAGCCCTACAAATATTTTATTGTAAAAACTTGTTAAATCAACAAATATTGTATTCACACCATAAATGAAAAGAACTGCAAAGTAAAGCTAAGCTGAAGGGAGACTTCATAATGCAAACATAATGTGACAGTTTTGCTTGATCCCCGAAGGACAAACACAGCTGTGATGAATCCAGCTGTGTTTGATTTTTTTAGCTACACCTCATATCATAATATTTTACTTCCAGGTAGCCACACTCTCTTGCAATTTGGGAAAATGGCTGCTTTTCACTTGTTTTCAGAATTTAGCAAACTCACAATTTAAGATTGGTTCTTTTCTATCTTTAGATACTTTATTGCTGGCAGCCTATTACAAAACACATCATTTTTTCCAATTTCTTCCTGCCAGAGATACGTACTCTTGAAATTATCAAGCTGCTTTGCCATTACACAACTTAAGTTAGCCCAGTTTAATCAGTGCTATTACTACCTGTAGAGCAAGATTTGACTTTGCACAGTACTGCTTTTTAAATCTTCAAACATCTAAGCAAATCTGTTCTTTTAAGGTCGTGCAAATCTAGATCCCAGAGCTGCTGTCAGCACAAACTCTGCTGGACTAAAGTTCTGGTAAGTGTATTTTTTTTTTTCAAAAGATGTAAATTGTTGTACTCTGAAACGGAATTTAAATTTTTATTTTCATTTCAATGAATGAAATGATAATGCAACATTGCTTATGAAGTTACTGCTACTGGGTAAGGCTGTTTTTGTGGGGTTTTTTACTGCAAAGTAAGATACTCTTCAATATCCTGTGTTAAGGTTATCAGGTTCATTAATTTGGCTTTAGATTAATGAAGGTTAGATCTAGTAGTAAATTAACTCTGGTCTGTCTATCTCTGGTACACCACGTACTGACATACCAGAGATGGGCAAACACGAGTCTAACAGACTACTTTCCAAACACATTTCCAAATCTGTCATGATAGCCTACTGAAAGGTGACTTGTAACTGACGATTTGTCTGTATATTCAGTGCTTCTTGCAGAACATTGTAAATGTATTTACATAAGATAAGATAGAACTTTAAGAACTTTAAGACATGTTTACAAATGTCATTATAGGCATTCTGAATAAACATCTACAGATTCCTGTACACATGTATAAGTTTGACACAGTTTTACAGATCTGTAAATGTGTAAAAAAATAATAATAATAAAAGTGCAAACACATACACACAAACATACAGATTTTGATACGCACACACAAATCTCTACGCAGACTGAACGACAGAAAAAAATCAACATAACTACAGCAGTAATGGTTAATTGAATAAAATCATTTTAGTTTAATCCACAATTCTAATATCACTATGCAAACATGAGGGTTTCTCTCACATTTGCAACTAAAAATAGTATCTATGAGCACGTGTGTGAGTAAAAAATATTATAACATTAAGCCCATGCAGGCGGCAGGTTTTTTTTAACAGAAATACTGCTAAAACAACAGCAGCTGAGAAGATCATGCAGTTCTATTTGAACATGTAGCCAGAGTCTGCCTCTACACACACAGAGTCCTTCAGTTGGTAAGTTCAGGTTAAGTGAGTTTTTTTTTCTAGCACCTATTACTATAATGTAAAGTTAACTTTATAGCAGATTGTTTTACACAGTGAAAATCTACAGTAAAGATACAGAAGTTACATTAAAATTTGCAGATGAACTGCTACTAGTGCTAGTCTGTTACAATGTTTCAACTAGACAGAGTCACCTGCAACAAGCAAAGCTGACCTATAAAAATGTACATGGCACAGTAAAACTCTGAGGCACTGGCCTGGGGCTGGTAGGTTAGATACTAAATGGTTCAAATTAATTATTAATTATTAATTAATAACACCTACACCATCCAAAAGTCTGCTCTCTGCAACAGTAAACGTCGCATTAAATCACAGGGCAAACCTCAGTTCTGAGAATGCTGATCTGCTCGCTTTTCTTCATAGCAGACATCACATGCTCCTTTTACGACTTACAGACACACACTTACTAGCATACTTACACGTAGACACACAGCACACACAAAATACACACATGCATGAACACACACCATATACAGTTAGGTCCATGTATATTTCACACTGACACAAGTTTTATTTATTTACCTGTTTACTGAAACATGTTCCAATTATAGTTACAGTGGGGCAAAAAAGTATTTAGCAGCCACCGATTGTGCAAGTTGCCCCACTTAAAAAGATGAGACAGGTCTGTAATTTTCAGGATAGGTTCACTTCAACTGTGAGAGACAGAATGTAAAAAAGCATCCATCCATCCATCCATCCATCCGTCCATCTTCATCCGCTTTATCCGAGGCCGGGTCACGGTGGCAGCAGCCTAAGCAAAGAGGCCCAGACCTCCCTCTCCCCAGCCACCTCCTCCAGCTTATCAGGGGGAATACCAAGGCGTTCCCAGGCCAGCCGAGAGATATAATCTCTCCAGGGTCTGCCCCGGGGCCTCCTCCCGGTGGGACATGCCTGGTACACCTCACCCAGGAGGCACCCAGGGGGCATCCTTGTCAGATGCCCGAACCACCTCAGCTGGCTCCTTTCGATGTGGAGCAGCAGCGGCTCTACTCTGAGCCCCTCCCGGATGGCCGAACTCCTCACCCTATCTCTAAGGGAGAGGCCAGCCACCCTTCGGAGGAAGCTCATTTCCGCCGCTTGTATCCGCGATCTCGTTCTTTCGGTCACTACCCACAGCTCGTGGCCATAGGTGAGGGTAGGGACGTAGATCGACTGGTAAATTGAGAGCTTCGCTTTTACACTCAGCTCCCTCTTCACCACGATGG